TAGAGATCATACAGACTGTGAAAACAAAAATTTAAAAGTTAGTACAGATACTGGATGCAGCTAATACATCCCGACTAAAGTTTGCATAAACTAGTTTGACTTCAGTACTGGGTTTTCACATGTTGAAGGTAAACTCTGAGGAAGGGCAAATAGGTTTTTTTTTCCTTTTGAATTTCCTTCGGGGGAGGGACCAAGATCTGTTCTAGCAGCTTTCTAAAGCCATTCCTGGGCAGCACGTGGCAGAGCTTAAGGGAGGAATCCCCCCCCCCTTCTCGTATGTCTTTCTTTCCATCCCAACACATTCAGAGTGCAGGATGATGCTGGCATGCTGACTCTTCCTGAGTGGAGCAGCTTGTGGCCCTCTGCCTGACTTGAGAAATGTGTGGGGCAGCCGAAATAGCCTCTTGCTGCCACTCCAAGTGGGACACCTGCAAAGGAAAGTTGGGCTAACTGTGGCCACAACAATTCCAGCTAGGAATACAAGCAAGGTTCTACTCCTGCTGAAGGCTGCAGGTCAGATGGGTTGTCCAGACAAGGCATACGACCTTAACAGTCTTCATTACGGGCAGAATTTCACAGGCTAGATTTTCCAGACACATGAGCCACCTGGAGCTGGTGGAAAGACTTTCAGATCCTAGAATGACTGATAGTCTAGAACTAATAGGACTCTGTCCCGACTTCCTGTCCTACTAAGATTGGAAAGAGACTGCCCTAATCTGTATGAGAGCCAGCAATGCCATCAAGCTGAGAGGAAACGACATTATGCCACTACACCCCGATCTTCTGTGTGATGTCCCCTCAGATATCTGAAAATTGTGATTGTGTTCCACCTCCATCCACTTTTCATAAATCTTTCATATCCCATTCCCTCAGTCCTTCCTCCTAAGCCTTAGTTTCCAGTTGGCTGATGATCCCTATTCTTTTCCCGTTTCTCAGGATCTTTCTTAAAATGTATCTGGAACCGAACATAGTATTTGAGGTGAGATCTGAGCAATTTAGAATACAGGGAACATTTTGCTTCTTGAGAATACACTATGCTTTTGTTGATACAGCCTAAAATTGTACTTTCCTTTTTAGCTGAAGTTCTACAATTCTAAGATCCTTTCATATGTCCCATTAGCAAGCCAGGTATCACCTGTGCATTTGATTTCTGTTTCTTAAGTGAAGAATTGTCATTTGTTTCTGTTAAACTTTAATTGTTCCTTTCAGACCATTTCCTTAATATGATCACTTTGAAATGTATTTGTCATCTAGAGATTTTTCTGTCCCACACAGTTCTACAGGTGGTCCTCACTTAATGACAGTAATTGGGACCAGAATTCCATCACTAAGCGATGCAGTTGTAAAGCACATCACATGACCACATGGCTTAGCAACAGGAATCCCGGCAGTCTGGGTTGCCATCATTAACCGAATCCTACCAGTCATTAAGTGAGGACCTACCCCGATCCAAGCCATTCCTGGCTTGGGTCCTCCCTGTCCTGAGCCTCAGTAAGGTACAGGAATGCTGGAGACTTCCAGTGGGTGCCATGGCAAACTGATGTCTCTGGAACAGAAGGATGACATGGCTGAAAAGGGTGTTCGGAAGCTGGATCCAGATTGCTGAAACCTCTCCTGAGGAAGGAGAGATCTCAAAATTGCCCACATGTACTTCAGACAGCTGTTTGTTGTGAGCAGATGGCAGGAACCAATGTTTTTGTGGTTGGCTTGTGAACAGCTGGGAGTCGCAGGATTCCATCAAGGTTATAGCTATTAATGTAGCCTATTTGGACTCAAGGTTCAACCAAGGCTCACTTCTTAATCACTTTGGATTTTTTTTAACTGCTTTTTAAAGATTGAGACCTTTCAGAACGGCAGGTTGAATTCACTGGTGAGTTCCCTTCAATCCTTTAAGAAAGAAGTTTTAACCATGAGTTTAAAGATTTGCAAAAAAAAAAAAATGATTTTGGAATATACAGCAAAAGAGTGATTAGAGTGTTGATTTTAGAAAGCTTTTTTAAAGAATTAAGGCTCAGAGGGACTTAAATTAAGACTTTGAAGTTAATTTAAAGAATCCTTCCTGTGGGAAACTGGCTATGTTTATATTTGGAAACAACAGATAAGAAATGAATACGACTTTGAAGGCTGGACCCTAGAGGGCACTAGAAGGAAATAAATGCATCAATGGCTACATTAAGAGAGAACTATCAACCGTGGGTTCATGAGGTAATTTCAAAGTTATCTGTTATTACAGATATGGAATATGTTATGGAAGGAGAACAGGTTTCATTAGAGAAGACAAATGGATTTGAACGTGGATTTAAAAATGACACAAAAAGATGAAATATTGGATATACAAATGAAATTGGCTTAAAAATACATACAAGTACTAACCCAGAAGACTGTTGAGGATAACCTTTTTATACTGGATTTGCAAAAAGGACCTGTCAAAGTTCTTAATGATTTTGTGATAAAAGACAAAGAAGATGAAAAGAAAGAAGATGCTAGGACATTAGCTGAAGAGATTGAAGACTCTTGTGGGACAGGGGAAAGAATACAGTCGGTTTATTTGATCAAGGTTAAAATAGATGGGTTGTCATCTCTGATAATTCCTAATGGATTTTCGCTGACTAGGACTGGATGATGATACTTTGCAGGTTTTGCTTATCTATAAACAGGAAATGGTTGATACGGGAAAGAGCTGAAGCAGTTGAACACATGCCATACAAGAAGCCAGAGAAACGCGCAAGTGGCTCTCAGATGAAACCAGAATAACTCAGCGAAGAAAAGCATTCAAAGCAGCGGGCAAACAGGAGGAACCAAGGAGACTGAATGCGGATTTCCAAAGAGCAGCAAGGAAAGACAACAAAGTTTACTGGGACCAGCGTTGCAAGCAGCTAGACGAGGACTGCATGAAGGGCCACGTCAAGAATGCATTTGCACAAGTCAAACGGATTCAAATACCATTTACTGCTCTTAAAAGCATCATCAAAAATAACCAAGGGAAAGAGCTGTCTGGCCAACAAGGTGTCAAGAACAGATGGTGAGTAGAGCTATATACCAGCAGCAAAGAGGCCCAGCCTCCTCAAGATGATGAGGAGAAGAAAGCAGAAATAGAACCAGCCATCCTTCAAGAAAGATCCTTTATTTCAACCTGGAAAGAAGGGAATTGTTGACTTGACTGAATTCAAGACAGAGAAACCGCCCTCCTGGTTTCAGAACTCGATAAGCTTCCTGAAGCACCTGGAAGCACACAGTTAGGAAACAAACAAAAAAACCACAGTAAGCAGGCATATTATGATGTTTCACTTAGCTGTATTCTGAGCTCATCCAGTGGAGTTTTGGGGAGGGGGTTATGGGTAGATCAAACAATATCCTACTGATTGCTCGGA